TCATTGTTAAAGCACTATCAGTAGCAAGAGACACCATCTTTGATGGGTCTAAGCCAAACTCTTCCAGACACTGGACAACTCTGTGAACAATTTGTATCTGCTTGTCCATCCTCAATAGAAACATTGGCTAAAATCTTTATAACAGCTTCTCCCTCTTTGACACATGTTTTTGAACTGTTAAATCTGTACTCTAGCATGTACATGATATTTTTCTTCCAATTTTTCTGTGTAGTAAATTTAATTTCAATTTCATAGCTTTAAATTGTTCTAGACACGTATTATGTCTCTCTATTGCAGTTTTTTCAAAATCAGTGGAACCTTGGTTTGCCAAACCATTTTCACATTTTGCTTGCCGCATATTCTACATATATGCACTCTCTGATTTCCCTCACCTTGCACTGTTAACCAAGGATACTTTTTCCTTTAAGTACCAATTGTTTTCTCCAAAACTTTTTCAATCCTGTGTTTCTCCTCATTTATAACATTTGTAATGTGTAAAGGATGCCATTACCTCAGACCTAAGACTTCTTGGAACTAATAACTGATGAGGCATGTCGAAGTTCTTTGGTTCCCTCCAAATAAATCCAGTCTCATATAGGCAAAAGCAATCTCTTCCCAGAAGATAACATTGGCTTCTGCATGCTAGCCAACTCTGCAGGACTGTATGACAATAAGGAAATTCCTGCAGTGGCATCCTGAGATACCTTACAAATTAAAGTGAGGCTTAACTTTCTCAATCTACGGATTAGGACCTGTCAATCTTTTGACAGCAATCTCAAAACTCGGCATCCATGGGGTACCCGCAGTCAACGGATCATGATCCCATGTGTTTGACACAATAGCTTAATGGAAAGTAGGATCCAATGTCTCATAATTACTGTAATGGGGGAATTTAACTCACGAGGTAAATATTTGCTATAGTCACAGTGTAAATAAATCCGTGAGTTCAAGAAAAAGTGAATAAGTTTAGGTAAAATAATACACTCTCCCTTTCTTGGTTTTTTGGGGGAGAGGAAGGGGGGGGGGAGTTCAAACTACCAGTAGGTATGTGTATATATCATGTAGTCATTCTGTAATTAGGAATTAGAAGAGGGAAAAACATGAAAATTACAACCCGTGAATTTAATCCCCTATATGTACTCTCCTCAGTGGATTGACTTTCTGCTCTCACAGGCAATTCCTGAAATAACTGAGATAGAGGAATCACATCGTCTATCTTGATCTCAGAGTTGTGCCAGCACTTATGTGCTTGGCAACAGTATCTGCATTCACTGCAAGGCAAATCCTCTAATGAAATTCTAGTAAATTCTGGCATGTTATCAGTTATGGAATAGTACATCAGTGTTCAAGTGTTTCTTCCCTAGGCGGTGAACAATCCACATATTATACAGTTCTTCTAGCCAGTGACCTGACTGGTTCTGCAGATGTTTTAAATTCATCAACCAGACTAGGCTATGATGATTGGCTCTGACTGTGAACTCCTTACCATGCAGGTAATGGTGGAATTGACAAGTGAATTCTTGCCAGCAACTCTTTTTCCTGGTTGTGCAGTATCAGCATTACTCTACTGATAGCACTGCACTGCCATTACCTATTGTTCTCTCTTTTTCCTGTTCTGGACTTGGCTTTATTCCCCACCGCATGATCTGAGGCAACAGTGTCCAGAATAAAGTGATCTTGACTGTTTTAGATTGCTGATGCTGGACACTTAATCATTAACTTAAGGAGTTCCTCAAAACCATTCTGCTGCTCATCTTCCCACCAGAAACCACTTTTTCCAGTAACTGCATACAGTGTACAGCAACATGAGAAAATTGGGGAATGACAGTGTGATGGTAGTAGGTGAAACCTACAAAATGCTCAACATCTTTTAGATCACATCATACAGGCCAGTCACGTACTGCCTAAATGTACTGGTCCCCTATCTTGACCCCTTGCTCACTTACTATTCTATCTAAGAACTCAAAATTGATCTTTAATAGCTCACACTTCCAAACATTTAAATTTCAAACCATACTCTCTTAATCTCTTAAATACCTATCGTAGGTGGTCTAGGTGAGATTGTACTGAAGCCCCCTGCAATAAGACATCACCCAGGAATGCTTAGGCTATTTTCCAGATCAGTTTAGGTGACACTAGTTTGATTGCCCTATTGAAAGTCACAGGGGTGTTGCAAAGACCAAAAGCTATCCTTGCAAATTAAATTAACCCATACTTACTTGGCTATAAAGGCTGTCTTTCTCAGGTCTTACAGAGCTATCTTGATTTACCAGCTTGGCAGTTTTCCACTAAGGTGTCCATACACTCCCAATGAGCAGCAAACAAACACAGCAGGGACTGCTTTCCTGACTGGTACCTGTCTTAATTATTTAACTTCTATCTGTCAGGTTCAGTACACATAACTTAGCTCTTCATCCTGCGGCATAATAAGTCTGTGAAGCTACTGTACCAGGCATATATGCACTCAAATCACATTCAATCATCTGCAAATTGTGTGTGGAGAAACACATACCCTATAAGCTGAACCCGCATTGAGTAGCTGCACTGATGCCTCGGTACTCATTTTAAAGGTTGTGTCTATACCCTTGATCTTGAGCGTTCATGCTTCACACAAAACTTCAGCACCATGTGCATGTAGGAAATCTACCCCTAAGAGCATGTCATCTTGTAAGGGACCAACACATATCTGGTTTGCAAAGCCATAGTCCCAGATTCTCAGATAAAGACTTAGGAGACACTAGCAAGTCCTTCCTGCCCCCCAATTAGAGAAATGCCTCTTATGCTTGGTCTCTTCACTAGCTCTTTTAAGACAAGAGCACAGGGTATTCAGGTTGTTCTTACATTCACATTTCTGGTTGTATATGTCCCAATTTCTTAGTCCTACTGACCCTCAGGACTGAACTTTTTGTTGAGATCTACACTTTGGGCTGCGGACTCTACCACTCTCTTTGGAGTCACCAGTATAACTATTTTTCTGCTCCTCTGACTTACCTTGGCAATTACAGTCCAAGAGCTTACGTCAGTGAGCAAAGAGTGAGCAAGAATCTCTTCAATGGCCAACTCTGAGGAAATGGACCTAACAGAATGTGGATGATGAACCACTGTTCAGTGACTTAACTGGAAAGTTTTTACTCATTTTATTGACTCTGCCAAAGTATGAGGGGGATAACTAGATTTCCGCTCATCTGACTTATCTCAGCACTCAGAGTCCAAGAGCTTACACCAGTCAGCAGGGGGAGAGCGAGTTTCTCTCTGCCCTTCATGGTCCCACTCTGATGAAATGGGCCTAATAGCACATGGACAACAAACCACTGCTTGGTGACTTATCTAATAAGTTTTTACTTGTTTTATTGCCTCTGCAAGAGTACAAGGAGGATTGTTGCCCTGCCTCACTATCCCTGCCCCCCCCCAAGAGCAAACCTAACAATAACCTCTTCTTGGAATATTCAGAGAAGGTTATTCCACCAAATGCCTTCTGGACAGTGTCCAAGACTCTATCCCCCTTTGTTCTATTGTTTTTTTCTGGCTTCTGGTCTATCAAGCTGAATTTCAGCTGTAAGGCTGTCCTTCAGGAAGTTTTCCAAAACCTCTCCTTCATCCAAAGAATGAATTCCTGGAAACTTAATGTAACTTAACAGAGCACCCCTATGATGCATGATATAAAAGTACTTAAGCGCTGCCCCCTCCAATGTCAGATTAAGGGCAAACAGAAGATCAGTCACTCCACTGATGGTATTCAGCAATTGCAGAGAATTTTGAATTGAATGGTCCCCACTCTTCATCCCTATTGTACCTCATCCACTTGACTTCAGCTGGAATATTCCAGCTCATGCAGCTTTGCCTATCAGGAGGAATTAAACTCAGAAATTGGGTATCTGCAATAGACATTTAAGTGTGAATTAGAGGTACCCCAGGCCAACCTCCTATACCAGGAACAAATGACTGACCCCCCCCCCCCTCCCCCAGTGCCGCTGACTGCCCTACCAATGAACCACAGTAGCCAGAGCCCTGACTATCCAACTTACCTGCACTAGAATACACAGATACAGTGAGTGTGATCAAGGGCATTCCCATTACCCACGCAAAATGTCCTAGAACGGATGGGCCCATGCTGGAATCTACTGGGAATCCCCAATTAAGTGCAACTCCTGAAAAGATGAGGCCAAACATGATGGTATTCAGCAAACCCCAACCCAAACTTCTGTAGCCTACTTAAGAAAGTGACTGACCTTGAGTTGCAGATACAAACCTGACCTCAGGATTATGAACAGAAACAGATCCAGGACTCAACACAATGCTTGCGGGCTGCTTTACAGCCAGGCTATGCCCTGGTTCTTCCCTGGCTACTAGTCACTACAGTCTGACTGTCAGTGAATTTAGTCCTTTGCAGTTTTGTAACTGACTGAGGTTTGTCTGAGACCTCAGCATTCCTGCAAGAATTTTGTAATCTTGCTTAACTAAGTCCCATATTTCTTCCCATGGAACCCATATTCTTTTCAACAAATCCCATTTGAGGAGTCATATTGGTGCACAATAAACTAATGTCTCCTCATAAGACCCCTACACCTTGAACAAGGCTATCTTCCCTGCTGTTTACCGCATCAAAGTCAGTTTGAACTTGGGAATTATTTCTAAATTTGATTTATTTCCCCTTGAAATTGACTCTTTTCCCCTTGAATGTAGTCAACAACCCCCTCGAGGAAAGTATGTCATTCCTAGGTCAGAGAATTAAACTGCTGAAAACCGCATCTCTCCAGACCTATCAAAATCAGCTATCAATAGCGACAAGTCTCCACCCCCAAACTGGGTGACAATATCCTGGGCACCCTCCCCCTGGGGCATAGGTGTGCTACACACCCCGAGCAAATGTCAAGCTTAAAGAAAGCAGACTTCCTGCAGACTGTGTCCTCTTAGCCATTTTCCCCAACCCAAGTAACCCAGTCCATACTAGGCTTCAACATCCCCCTTCCCAAACAGTAGGAAATGAATTCACAATCCATCTCACCCAACAACCCATAAAAGGGCAAAATATAAATCTACATGTAGTGGCTAATCTGCTTAACAACACACACAAGTATAAATGTATGTACAAAAGTAAATAAAATAAATACAGCTATATCTTGGAAATAATCCAAGATGGCGACAGGCATTAACATGTGCAGGCAAAGCATTGACCCCACTGTCAAACTAAAATACCCTGCTCGCAGTGCCAATAGTGTTTTTCTATAATAACTATACCTATATGTAGTGATGGCAGAAACAGAGAAACACTATGGTAGAATAGTCTGTGTCTAACAATGTACAGTACAGTACTAGACAATGCAGCTGACAGAAACATGCCTGTCCTAGTCAGCAGCAGTAAAAAAGAGAGAATGTACTAAATTGTATATGAACATTGCAGGGCAATTCATGCCTATAGTACCTCCAGGATCACTAATGTTAATTAGGAATTCATCTCACCTTATGTCTGGTAACCAAACCTTTCTGGGCTCTCTAGCTGTCAAGCGGTCTCATGCTTCTGATTGGCCTTGCTTCTCTACATCCTATCAAATGAAAGTCAAAAGGTCAAAGTGTGATCCAGTTAAGATCCTATCAGAGATGTTTCTGAACATGAAACAAATCTGAAAATGAATATGAAAAAAATTTGATTCGGAAATATCTTGATTTGAAAACTTAAAAAATAACACATGAATAATTTCCAAATAAGAAGTCTGTAAGCAAATGCTCACTAATAATACCCCTGCTCTGATGTGAATATCCAAGTTCAGTTATGGACAGGCATGGTGAAAATCAGGAAGTGGACATTGGATCTTTACAAAAATGACTCCCAACATATGGCATGCTTAAACAAAATGTGTGCTAAAATTTCAAGCATCTGTGATAAGCAGTTGCTGAGAAAACTGTGACCAAAATTTGTTATGTATGGTAAATATATTGACAGATGCATGGATAAACAGGAAGTTGACATCAGATTCGTACAAAAATGAATCCCAACATATGGCATGCCTAAACAAAGAGTGTGCTAAAATTTCAAGCATCTGCGATGAGTAGTTGCTGAGAAAACTTCGACCAAAATTTGTTATGCATGGTATGGACAGATGCACAGATAAACAGGAAATTGACATCGGATTCGTAAAAAAGTGAATCCCACCATATGGCATGCCTAAACAAAGAGTGTGCTAAGATTTCAAGCATCTGCAATGAGTAGTTGCTGAGAAAACTGCAACCAAAATTTGTTACAGACAGACAGACACACAGACAGACGGACAGCTAGACATACAGGGGTAAAACAGTATATCCCCCTCTCCTTCGGAGCGGGGGTATAATAAAACACTGAGAATATGATGAGTGTATTGTGGTGTTAATTATTATGTATTTCATACTTACATCTATATTTAGCAAATTTATTTCATATATTAAACCCAAAATGTTCAGTAAACAAAGAAAATATAAGTCAGAAATTCTACATATGTATTGATATGCGTATTGTCGTCTTCACACAGAATAGATATTATTGATATATCGATACATCATCCCAGCCCTATGTTAAATAAGGAATCAACAGTAACCTGCATAATGGTTGGCAATTAAGTTCATTTTTGCTTACTATATTGTATAAAATTTAATAACTCCGAAAATCAAAAGGGGGGTGGGAGTCTGGACTTGGAAAATCATATTTATTTTATATATTTATATTTTATATATTTTTAAACTTAAGTCTATTATTGATTTTAGTTACGTCAGAAAATTTCTTTGATTGTTTAATAATTTTACCAGAATTCATTGTTCTGAGTAATTTTGAGAAGTAGAAAAGGAGATATTTTCATATGCTACCATCTGCCAAAAATTATAACAATCATACAAGATTTCAAATTCAGTTTTACTATCATTTCTATTTATAGATGTAGAATTGAAGAGGAAAGAAAAACAAGATCTTTTAGATCTTTTCTCTCTAAATATACCGAGTATACAACATGTAAATATACTTTGAATGCTTTATTTAGTCACAAACCTGACAGGAATCCTTCCTTAACAAAACTTATTTTGCAACGATACAAAAACTTTATTAAATGTTCAAAAGAGCAATGTAAATTGATCCAGTGTAAGAGATGGAGTTAATGCCTTACCATTTGGTTACCTTTTGGGTTGGCCAAAGCTCTATCCCTTCTCTTGGTATTCTTGTTGGCAGGTGATGCACTCTTCTTAACGTAAGGGTCCTAAGGTTAGTGGGTTAATAGCTGTCATCAATTCTGTGAAACAGAGCTATAAGATCAAAATAAGATCAAAAGAGGTTCCAATATTAATGTAGATGAGAAGTGTGGACGAGCTTAAGAAATATAGGTCAGTGCAAGGAAGCAAGTTCATTTTTGGTATTTTACCCTGTCTTCCATAGTTGGCTGCAGTTAATTCCCCTTTCTGGACTCTTCTTGGTGAGAGATGGAGTTCTTCTCTACAATGAGATCAAGACTTGTTTAACTTTTATTCTACTATCAAAGATAGTCAATCAAGACATCAAATGAGTGCTTAATTCCTTTGATTAAGAAGAAATAGAACACAAAATGAAAAGTTCACCTTCTTGCTATTTTTTCCATTGTTGGTCCACTGGCATTGTGTATACCCTGTATCCTAAATTAATTCTCGCAATTGTCTCCTCTTCCTTGTTTGGTTGGCCATTCCTCCCAAGAGCCTTGTCACAGATGGAAACCGACACAAGATTAATTAGTACAGTTCAAAATTACTGACAAAAAATGACAAATTTCTACAAAAGTATTATTACAAAAAATTGTGTGAAGATTACATTTAAGTGAATGGACGAAGAACATTTATAAAAGGAAAGTGCAATTATAGAAACTTAAGTTAATGTACACAAAATAAATGTTGAATCCATCATATTTCACAAATTAGGGTATAAACTGAATGAATTGAAACACTCATCATACTGCAGCTCCTGATGGACTGGATAGTCTCATCACCTGACAAATACTAGAAAAACAGTTTTTTAATCACCCCACCCCACCCCCTCCCAACTCTATATTTAGTGCACTCACAAAAAATTGGCGCAGTGGTTAGAGTCGTGACAATTAAGAATTTTGATTCATGACACTTTAAGTGAAATATGGGGATTTAAATTTTGACTTTAAAAGGTCATGATTGTTAATAAAGTCCAACCTCTGTGCACAATTTGAAAACTGCAAGATTTCTAAGATATCTTCAGAGAACCATTGGATGTAGAATAGCTAGCAGAAAACTAAATGACCTCTGACTTTAGATCAGTTAACATTAATAATTTTAAATTCAAAAGGGAAAAAGGTAGATCTTTATGATGAAGATAATTCATGAAGCATATCATACGATTCATGCATTTTAATTTGAAACAAGATGCGTTTGTGAAACACTATGCCCCTGATGGTAACACAATTCTGGAGTGGGACGTCTAGACTACAGTGCAATAGTTATGGCCATGTGAAAGTTTTTCAAATGTAGGTCAAAGGTCACAGTTGAGGTCACATGATCAAAAATTTCTGTACCAATGGAAAGGTCTTGTCATAATGAAAACTCATGTCAAATATTAAAGCCTTACCCTTGACAGCGCAATAGTTATGGGCTAGGTTAAAGTTTACAACAGACAGACAGACAAACAGACAGAAAGGACAAAAACAATATACCCCCGGGATCTTTCGATCCAGGGGCATAAAAAAAATCCCTATTTTATAATAATCTAATCCCATGTCAGGTCTGTACGTTAACCAAAATGTTGTATCGTCAAGATATGTTGTTCAGTCACTGTATAAAGAGCACACTGCTGCATATAATTACATGTATATACATTGCATAAACACATACAGATAACTTGCACAAATATTACCCACACATGAATGTACACCTGTCATACACATATACATACATAAACATGCACCTATACTCGCCTATAAGTCGGTTGTATTTTTAAAGCTTAAACGAGAGAGATCTACCCCCTCGAATATCATTCTTTTTATAACTCGCGTACAAGTCGGATAAAGAGCTTTGGACCAAAGTTAAACTCCCCCAAAAAAGACTTATAGGCGAGTATATATGGTATTCATAACCACACACACACATTCTACTACATACAACAAGCATAACCCACCATTTTTTTTTTTTTTGTTTTTTGTATTTTTTTTGTTGTTTTTTTGTATTTTTGAGTTTGTTTTTTTTTTTTGTATTTTTTTTTGTATTTTTTTTTTTTTTTTTTTTTTTTTTGTGTACAATGAAGACTTTTAGAAGTCTCTGACTGTGGCTTAAGCTCTACTGGTTTAATGAAGGAAGCTAGAGGAAAGTACTTTATTGGACTTAAACTATGACAATATCAATTTACAATATCAATATCAATTTAGTAATGATCCATGGATAAATCTCTTTATGTGGCAAGTTTTCTTGATATATCATTTCAACACTGTCGGTCAAAATCCCAAACTGACACTGAAGTTTAATTATAAACTTTGTTGCCTACTTGTAGTTTATTAATTTAATTGAAATCAATCCAAATTTGTAGGGTTTAAATCCATAACTGACACTGAATTTTAATCATAAATTTTGTTTTTTACAGATCAACATACAAACAATTACATGTACATAACAGATAAACACAGATGGACTGACGACAGAACCTTACCATCACATGATCTCTTTTTGTCTTTGACCAGTAGAGCTACAAGCTCATCATAGTTAAGTGGCATAATGACCATGTGCAGGACAAGAAACCACTTACTGTACATCTAGCAGGCTGAGGTGAATTGAGGTGAGGCGAGGGTTGTGGCAGACAAACATACAGAATAGTGTGTGCAGATGAGACTAACAATATACAATCTCTAAATGCAACATACAACATAACAAAGGACACACATGATACAAAGCAAATACTGTATATTCTTGTATAAAAAAATATGAATATACCAAAATATAGAACATCAACAATAAATTCTGTCTCTTTTCTGAGTAATCACACCTAAAATGTAGACTGAATACAATCTATCAAATGTATGCAGCAGATGCAACATAGTGAGACAGCATGCATGCAAGTGTGGTTTGTAAGTGACTAATGTCAGACTCAACATCAGACTCAGCAACAGACTCGTCATCAGACTCAGCATCCAAAGAAACATCATATGTACAAGTTTTGATCAGTGAGAACATTTACCTAACTGCTAAGAATAAACAGAGCCACTGAAGCAAGAAATAAAGGTCAGATGCAACAGCAGCATATACAAATTTGGTTTGGTTACAGCATTCAGGGAAGCATCCATGGAAGCATCAAGTACAAATTGGTTTGGTAACCACATCAGTAGAAGCATCATGTACAAATTTGGTTTGGATAACACTTGTAAAAAGCTGAGAATATGATAACCTTACAAACAAAGAACTTAAGCATAAGATATAGTTCAAATGCAGCAGCAAGAGCATCCTCCTCTAATCTTTGATCTGAATACAGAACAAATAATAGACTGACAGCTATAGTAATTATAACTTAATATAATACAATAATACTTAAAGTGTAATGAAAGATCCAGAAATTTTCATAATCAATCATTGCTTCTAATTGAAGCCTTAAAATCAATATATATGACCGGAATTATCTGCATTTTAAAGAAATTATTTATTTTTTTTGAATGTTGTGTTTTTGAGGAAAATAAATTTACTAACTTGTTAACAAAGAAGAATCAGATACTAGTATTCCTTCAACCAAGCTACCGTTCTTGGTTTCGCGTTTCTATCATTTTAGGTATACGGATCAGGCAAATTGTACAGAGGTTTTTTACTTCCGAAAGCTTTAAAATTTCTACAGTGACAATCGATTACAAAATATCAAATTGATAAGCGGAAATAGCAAGCCGTACGTCGATCAACTATCAATTATCAGCAACAATTGTTTCATCTATAACATTATACTTTGATATATTAATTAATACAACAAAGCAATGCAATCATAGACCCCAAAAATAGTGGTATCTCAGGAATGGAGCCTATAATCATAAAGGAGACCCACCATGTAAATAAATCACTAAACTTTACAGCTATCTTAATCCCAACCCAGAAAAATTAATACTATAAAAAATAAACCCGTAATCATGAGAGAGAAAAAAGTGCCCATTGAAATTTTCATCAATTAAACTCCAATATAAAAAAAGGTGGAGAGGGGGACTGAAATTCAAGTATAGTTAACAATTGTAATATCCTGAATTTATTATATTAAATCTGATGAAATGAAATAATTGATTCCAGTTAAAAAATAACAATTATTGAGCCTGAAATTATAACTTAACTCGCAACCCCAAAGAAAAGAAAGAGAAGTCCCACCTGGTCAGGAAACCCATGAGATACAAAAACATCTATAATTTCATACATAATACAAAACAATAAATGACTTTATACATCAAATAGAAACATCTCAAGGACGGATCCCATTATTACAGGTACTAAATGAAATTAAATAAAATGAAATGGAAAACCGGCCAATTCAAATTAAAAAGTTAACAATTTAACAGTTTAATTTCACAACCAAAAGAAAAAACATATCTGAAAAGTTAAGGAGAGGACTAAATGAAATTTAAACTGAAAAATTAACCTCAATGTGGAAATGAGAATAAAATAATTGAACCTGATCTAGATAATAGTATGTGCACGAGTTAAGTGAGATATTTATAAACCACACTCATATGAAAATATAACAAGAATTTTTTTTTTTGAATCAATACAATTATGAAAAAGAAAACAGATTGAAATAAAGAAAGAAACCTGAATTTACTAAATTTATTTAAAATCATCAATCTAAATTTAGGTCCTATTTAATCAAAAATTCACTTACAGAGACCCCTTGAGATGCACAAAACCACTTTACAGTACAATATAAATATATTACAAAACATAATTTAATGCACGAAACACAAAATATTTTTAACTAATTAACTTACAGAGAAAGGAAATTAATTAAGGTGGCAAATAGATATACCCTAATTAACAATGAAACTCCTAAATTTAGAATGACTGAAATCTTGTTCCAATGTACTGTTATAGAAGGAAGAAGAAGAATTAATCTCGAGAAATTAATTGATTTAATCAAAATTGAAACTAATAAATTTACCAATTTTAAATTCAATACGACTATGAGACTTTTTCTCTCATAAATGACAATGTCTAAATAACGGTGTGTGCTTGAGTTGAGATATTTAGACAAAGCATCCACGAGAGAAAAAAGTTATCGCCTACAGTACTTTTTTTAAAGAAAGAATTAACCTAGACTGAATTAACATATTATTAACGGCTACTGGCGATTTGAAATTAATGTAAGGAAACAAAATGGTTCATAAATTTATAAACTAATTCTGACCTTAATAATGAGAATTTTAGGACAGTGAAATGTCAAATTAAATGAATTCATTAACTATCAAAAGAAAACCCAAATTATATAACATACATTACACTATACCAGCTGGTGAAAAGAGGGGGAAATTAAGAAAAGATAATCAATTCTCACAATAATTAACCAAATATCATAAAGTTTATCATTCCCAGGACTGCCAAGATATATACAAAAAATAAATCAGTGTATTACAATATACAAGATATGAATACAAAGTATCAAAAAAAACTCATCATGCACACACAAAATACAATGGAAATGGAGAGAACTTAGGAAAAATGAGC